TTTCAGAATGGGAACCATTCTTGAAAAATAGCAGTCCAGAACCATTATATTAGATTCTTTTTATTTTTTATTAATTTCAGCACAGAGAAAGCAGGCAAAATGTTTAAAGAAATTTGTATTCTTTCGACACCAAACAGAAGAAAAAAAAGTTGAATAAGCTCTGGGTCTTCATTTCTCTATCTCTTATTCTCAGGGTGAGCTGAAAAAACAAAAGGACAAATATAAGTACTGTTTGTAGAATGGCGTGTGCTTTTCAGGTCTATTTCAGTGAAGGCCAAATTGCTTAGACTGTCTTTCTGCACTTTCCACCAATGAAAATAATTCAAGCTTGCCCTAGACTTGTGGCAGCTAAATTCTTCTGTTGAGCTAAGGGAAAGGACACCCCAATAAGTACTATAAAGTCATCTCTTCATCACTGATGTCATCAGAATCCTCAGGCTTCAAAGTCACGGCTTTCATCATCATGCCTCAAAGTCATTTCCTTAACACCTATTTCTTACCTAAGTTAATTACAAACAAACAAGGTGTCTTCTTCAAGTTAGAACTTTAAGAAGAAAATCTTGTCATTTAGTACTAAAACAAATCATTTTTGAAATTACCAAATTTCCAGAGATGCAAAGTTGCTTTCTTGCCTAAATGCACAATAAGGTGGGTCTACCATACTCTCCGATGAAATGAATGTGTTATTAGGTTGAATTTTATAAAATCATTGTCATTCACCACTTTTTAACCTACAAAAATGTACTTTCATATCGTCCAGCCTACTACCTGAAGTATCCCACTGTTGAGCTATTGCTTAGTTGAATGGTTCTCTCTACAGTGTCTGTCACATTAGGTCAGAACAGAACCATGATTAACTATCAAGCTCTGGTTTGAATTTTTAATTGTAGCTCCAACTCTCACTAGCTGGGTGATCCTTGGGTAAATTCTTTAACCTATGCATTGATCTGAGCCTTCATTTTCTCATCTGAAAAAAGAGAATAATAATGGAACTCAACTCAAGCAACTATTTTGAGAATTAAATAAGTTAATACATATAAGGAGCTTAGAACAGTGGTTGTCACTGGTTTATATGGCTCTTAGCAAATGCTCGATCTTTGCTATTTTAATAATAACTATTACAATTACTTTTTAAAGAAAAATCCAGAGCATAGTTACCTGAGATGCTTGTGATTGTGTTATTTTTAGGCAAGGGTAGCTTGACTTGAAGCAACAAGTTTTGGACCCTGAATAAAAAAGAAATGACAGATTTGGGGAAAATATTAGCATCACTATTAGAAAAAGAATTAACATTTATACAGCAATTGGTGATTACAAAGTAATTTTATATGCATTACATTCTTTAATTCCAGCTTAGTACTAGAATCTCTAGAAGGAAACTTACTGAAATCCATTGCCCCAACGGAATAAAAATGATTGTCAAGTCATAGGAGAAAAATGTTAAATGATTCAGACACTTAAATATAAACTTCCTTACTAACCTGTAAGATTAGATTCAATCAAATCACAAACTATCACTTTTAAAGAAAATAGTTAAATAAGTTAATATTTTGGTTTAATGATTGCCTCTACCAAAAGATTTCAGAACTTCCAAATATTTCTATCTATATTCATAAATATTACAACCTTGGAAACAGAACAAACATTACAAACATTTAATAATATGCTCCAGTGCAGCATACAAGAGCTATTTAAGTCATCCTGTGAGACAACTGTATGTAAAATAAGATTCCTGTCCCACATGTACGGAGTATCTTTCAGGTACTTAAGCCCCTAAGCCCTAGCTTCATCAAACGCAACAGCAAAGGAAATTAGACATATTAAAATGAAGACAACTACAGCACCTCCTCAGCAAAGCAGGCTTCTTTGTCATCAGCTGTGCAGCACTTCTCTATAAAAGCTGAGAAATTTCCCATAACAGTTTTCAGTTGTTCATCAGCTGCTTTGGGCTTGTGTTTCAACAGCTCAACAAGTGCACTGCATTTGAATTAAAAAAAAAAAAAAAACAGGAAAAAGTTTACTCACATACAAAAAGAAAATGGAGATAGTGAAGACAGTAGCTCTGTTGTTTGAGATTGTAAGCCTTGGAGTCAGTTAACTCTGACCTTGATACCCAGGCTTACCACTATAAACTTCAATATTCTCATTTGCATATGAGGAAAATAAAATCTACCTCCATTGGATTGGTGGAAGGATCAAATGAAATCATCAGTGTAAACTGCTCAACATCTGTAGTGTCAATAAATCTCAACCAATCAATCTCTTTTCAGTTAAATCTTTGGAAAAGATTACATAATTGCATTTATAAATTATTTAGATTTTGGGAGTTACACCATATTAAAGTTTATAGCAATTTAAGAGCTAGAAATGATGCTTAAGAGCTTAATTATCTTGGACTCCATTTAAAAGTTTCTAATATGAGAATTACATTTGGTCTTTGAAAGTGGGCAATAAGACTATCCAAACTCATGGGAGCTGGTGGTTCTCTTTTATTGACATCTGCTGAGGATAGTGCTAGAAAGAGTCATATGGGCGCAGTAGGTTTTACAATATTGCTCTTATGTCTATGGCTACAATCGGAACACACCAGAGATGATAACAACTTGACGTTGCATTTCTAACCCCTTGTGACAGTAGTAGGGAGTCAAGCCACAGAACTTGAATTTTTAGATTCACTAAGAAAACAAAAACTTATCCATTTTATTATTGACACTTTCATCACCTTAATAAGCCAATACTTAAATACGCTTTCTAAGGAATATAATAATCACACTGTTTCAGAAAAAGTTACTCATTTCAATTTACAGTTCTCTCTATCAAGATTATGAATGCATGCAATAATGAAATACTTACGTTTGTGTCTTGAGGTGTTTCTCATGGTCAGGAAGTGTGCATACATCTGCATGAAAGGTGAATGTTTCAGCATTAAATTCTTTGGGGACGTATGTTTCATCGGCTTCCAGAGAAGAAAAGCATGGTCGTCTGTTCACCAAGGAGTCTGTGCAGCATTTGGTAATTTTGTCACTCACTGGTGTCTTCTCGTGCAACACACACAATCGGTTCAGGACCAATGACAGCTAAAGAACAGTGAGGAGAACAGAAATTCAAAAGAAGCATAATTAAAAGTTTTCCATGAAATCCTACTTTCCTATGGACCAAAAAAAAAAAAAAAGAAATGTTGAATTTTAACTAGCAACATTGAATCCAAGGTTGATTTGAGACAGTGATTTGCTTATGTTTAGAACTACAGATATAAGGGACATGTAAAAGTCTTTTCTTTTTTAAATATGTCTAAATGAGAATTAAATATTCTCATTTGAGAGAATAAATGATTAAAATAATATAATTTGAATTGAGTCCTAAGATATGTGTTGGAGTGGGGAGGAAACAGTCTTATACTGACACATTAAGGGAAAAATCCCAAAGGAAGTGAAAATATTTTTAAATGACAGAATGAAACATTGAAACTTCATGGAATTTTTTCAAAACAATTTATCATCTTTGGAATCTTATCTAAATCCTCATTCTGATGGTCAGGATAATATAAGTGACCAAGTCTTGGCAACCACTACCACACACACGCACATACACGTGTGCACACGCACATGCACACGTTATTTCACTCCTGCTTCTGAAAGCTAGCTTTGTCTTTATCCAAAGGCAAAAAATTCATCATTATTAACTTATTGTATTTTAAAAGACTCACATAGTCTTCAGCACAAGCCATTCTTTTGGATTCAGGAAGTGTACAACACTTGTTGCCCATGTTTGCTAGTTCTTTTGAGATTACCAGAAGAGTTGGAGTTGACACTTGGGGCATTTTCTTGGTGTAACGAATAATGAGCCTATAACAAAATAGTCCATATTTTTTCAGCCAGGCAAGAAACTGTTTGTTTGTTTTTTCCCTAACATAGTAGGTAAAGCAGAAAACACTTAGCCAAAATTAATTTAAATGATTTTCCATTCATAAAATTATCTCTATCTCTAAGTTGGTGGAGTAGTTTGGGGGAAGACCTGATCCTGAACAACCAGTTAAGCCTAAATTCGAGTTCCTGTATAATCTTAGGTAAGTGACTTATTATAGTTCAGAGACATTAATATATTTATCAATTTCTTTTTTCTTTTAATAAACCCACTGAGAACTTAATGTATATCAGCACTGTGCTAAATTTGAAAGATATGGATGAATTTCCTCATCTACAAAATTGTAGAAATATACTTGACTCAATAAGGACAATGCAAGATTAAAAGAAATAAAATATGCAATCAACATGGCGTGGTATCTAGGATGTAAAAATCATTTACTAAGAATGCCAAACACCACTGAAAGTCAATGTATGACTGTAATTTACTTAAGAGAACATACTTATTCATTGTTCTTATCCCTAGCACCCACAGTTAGAAGAGTGTTGCTAGGTATATTTTGAACAATAAATATCTACCTAATGATGTGTCCCTTATTATCTTTACCTCCCTTGATAAGACTTTATTAGATCAGGACATTAGTCTATCAACTTATATATTACAGTACTTCTTGAGCTACTGCTATTCGAGGCCAACTATTTCCTGTTCTGTAAAGCATTGCTGTCTTTTGTTTGCTCCAAAAGTATTTCTTAACCTTCAAAAGGTATCCCAAGATTTGGTATTTTCCTTCCCAGTCTCAAGAGGCTAATTTTTCAAACTGCACTCAAATATAAGCTTCTTCGTCCCATCCCATCACCTGTTTTATCTCTCCTTCTCCAGTCTTTCTAGATGTAGAGGGATTAGAGATATATACTGTATTTGTATGATTAAAAGCTCTGTAACAGGTGGTCTCTATATTAAGTCTTAAGTAATTACAGGTCAACCAAGAAAAAAATTAGTTAGTAAATAAAATACATACGCATTTTGGAAGCCATATGCTCCAAGGTTTTCAAAAAGTTCACAGTTTCGTTTCATTAACTTCTGAGGCTCATCCACAAGAGGTTGAAGTTCATCAAACTGAAAGGTAAAAGAATTGCATGTATAGGATTCTACCAGAGGACCATTTGCGGGTTGTTTTTAACCCCTATAGACAGAATGAGATCCTTCTTCCTTTCTGCGCAAAGCCATATAAATAGATCTTTGATGTCAAATCTATTACAATATATCCAAACTCCATAGTATAAGTGATTAATATTCAGACTCTGGAGTATAACTGCTAGTGTTTGAGCCAGGCCATCTGACTCACTTCCTAGTTATGCAACTTTACTTCTAATTGCCAAGTTTTAGAAACCTCACTTCTAAGATAGAGATAAAAACTGTACTCACCTCAGAGAATTGCTCTGTAAATTGCATGAGCTAATGAAACTAAAACATATGCCTGGAACATCTCAGTAAATGATAGCTATGATTGTATTATTATTATTAAGCCAACTCTTTAGTTGGATCCTGAGTTCTCTGAAATAAGAGATTTTATCTTGGTCACAGGTTCCAGTGTGTTGTCTGGCACATAGCAGGTTCTCGGTAGAAGAAAGAATGACTTTCCTCTAATTCTAAAGCTTCGAAACCACTATGTATGTTAAAAGTGCTAAATATCCTAAACATGCTAAAATCCTATTTTAGCACAGCTAAGTTTACTAAAAATCCTTCAAAACAGATTTCCTCTCCTTACTTAATTTCTTGTAAAACTATTCCTAAACCTTCTCAAAATATTTTGAAAATATTCTAAATGAATAGATTTCACAACCTCCCTTAAGATACTAATTCTCGATAGCTGATAAGTCTTGGAATCATATTAACTATATGTCTAAGTTAAATCTCTTTTACATTTAAATTCGCTTTATCTTATTTTGTTCTCAGGAGTATAAAAAAGAGAAAAGACATGGTCAAGATTTCATGGAATTAGAAATTGCTCTTTTCAGATCTTTTCCTCTAGACTATTCTGTTTTATTAGCCATTCTATTAAAAGCTATTTTTCCCTAAAATGTTTAAGAGCACAGAATCTAAACCATCTCAATAAAATATCTAAATTGTAATATATAACATCTTCCATTCTTGCATTATTTTTCTTTCTTGTTATTGAAATCACCAAAAGTTACATTTTTTATTCCTTCAAGAAACCTACCACTTTGGAATAGCACGCATGAGCATCATCAGTGGCACAGCACCTCTCCAGTGTAGCTTCATATCCCTTGGCAATCCTCAATAGCAATGAGACAGCGTATTCTGGATGCCTTCTTGAGTATTCATACAAAAACCTAATTAAGATGAAAATAAAATAGATTTAGTTGGACAAATAATCAAGAAATCACATAACTAACCACAAAGTAGTATATCCCTAAAGTCTCAATTTGACTAAACTGCATGCAGTAAAGCTTGGAGGCTAAGGGCTTGGGGTTCAGAGTAAAGCTACCTTTATTCAAATCCTGGCTTTGCCACTTATTCTATTATATCGTCTTAGGCAATTTATTAAAACTTTCATAGCTTTAGTTTCCCCCTCTTTAGAATGGGGATAATAATAGTATCTATTTCAATAGTATCTATTTCAACTATCTAAGGTAGTTGTGAGAAATACATGACATAACCTATGCATAACACACACTGTCTAGCACATATTAAATGTTTGATGACTTTTGTTATTATTATGTATATTTTGTTTGATTTAGACTATATCTCAAAAAAGTTGTGCTAGATAAACAAAGATATATTCTTAAATTCTTCTTTTTCCTCTCTGTATGAGTGAAATCTTGAAGGGTTCACAATTTTATGAAATATTATTTAGTGCACAGAATACTATTATAATCCAAGAATAAAAATGCAAAGTTTATCACCAAACTTACTATACATACAATCATTTATTTTGTCACTTAATTGTATGCTGCCTTGTCATGCTACTGGACTTCGGTATTTTCAAACAAATATAAAGCACTTGGTAGCAGACTCAATACATCTCCTTATACTTCTTTGCTGCCATCAGATAGGTACATGTATGATAGATAGATAGATAGATAGATAGATAGATAGATAGATAGATACAGAGATATAAAAATGTATTACATATATTCACACATGTATGTTAAGTTTAAGATATAATCTTTGAATGAATAAATAAATAGGTATATAATTTATACATACATAATGATTCTAGAGGTATTTCCAGAAATATCCCTAAAGAGTAAGAAATGAGCGTTGGGTAAAAGTAGAAAGTTTACTTATTACTTTGTACTCTTCTCTATTGACTGAGCTTTTGCCATGAACAAGTTATTATTTCGTGACAATTTTTTATAACTAATTAATTTTTTCCAAAAAGTGTAAAGCCTCGGAGAGGAAAGGATAAAAAAGCATTGTAGGCAACACGGAAACAGAAACAACTCTAAAGGAAAGCCTAGAATAACTCCCAAATCCTCAGACCATATAAAGGCTATGAAAAGATGATCCCTCATCCACTTACGTGCCCAGGAAGACGTCTTTTGCTTCCTTATAGTTTTTGCAAACGTCTTTATCTTCAACAAAATCAGTAGTTATTGAGGGCAGATCATTAGGCAAATCATCATTTTCCAACTCAGAAATGCAATGGGATTTTTCCAACAGAGGCTTATCACAGCATTCCTTCAGCTTACTGGAGAATGAATCTTGATTGTCACACACATACTTGGCAAGATCTTCCTATAAGCAGTTGATAAAAATTGTTCAACATAAATTGACATCTCTACACTTTCCCACTTTCTCTTCAGATTTTTATTATGATAGCAGAACACCTCTATTGTATTCTAAGACCATACACATACCAACCTGCCTTCTGTGAACATTTTTGTCTGTGCTCCTAAACCTGGAGACTTCAGATAGAACTACTAAAACATTTCCACTTGATTAAAATACTACTCAGTAACAGGGACCCCTATCAGTTATTTATTAATTTTATATCTCTATTGTTAAGGTATTCAATTTTTTTATTAAAACCCAGTACTGTTTTTCCAGACATTCCTTTAAATTAAGTGCAGGCATTTTGAAACCAAAAAACTAAATAAAGAATGTGAGTTTTGAAAAATATAGTCAAGATTACAGTCACAGGCCCTGTTTACACATGTAAAATATCTGCCTTAAATTTTCCAGAGTGTTCTGAGAAATTAGGATTCTGGTATTTTGTCATATATTTCAGTTTGGGGAAAAGAGATATCATGCTAAATATTTTTCTGTTTAACACAGAGAGTTAATTAAGGTAAACTATAGAGGGAAAAATTACATAATTTCCAAAGGTCTCTTTAGGTACTAGCTCTTCCTCAACTCTATCCACCTCTCCCAAAAAACTTAGAAATCTGCCTTTGTAGCTATTCTACTTCAGTTTAAGTCTTTGTTCTCACTTAGAATATGACTAAAAAGGATTAAAAATTAGTAAATGTGTTTATCAAATCATTTAGTGAATGAGATAGCTAGGTTTACAAAACACACACACACACACACACACACACACACAACTCAGGGAAAGGATTGAGCAGATTAGGCATAGAAGACAATTTCGATTCACTGTCAGTTGTCACCTATTACACTAAACAAATCCATTCTACCAACTAAAGCACGTAAGTTACCAAAAAGGATACTGAGGATTCCTTACCCTGTCATCTGCACATTCAAGCAGGTCACCATGGCAGCATTCCTTGTGGATTTTGCTAAGATCTGTCACCAACTTGGAAAGGTCCATAAAATCAGCCTTGGGAAATCTCTGGCTCAGGCGAGCTATGCTCCTAAAAAGAAAATTCCCCCATTAAAACTTCATAAACATGCAATATTTTATGTGGAAACACTAGGAAAGTAGTACTCATAACAAGAAAATTCAGGACAAAATAACATAGAAATAATTTGTAAAATTTATTAGTTCTCGTTTACTGCTAGTTCTGAACCGAGTTATCTTAGGAAGAAATATTTCCATAGGGCAGAATTAACCATTATAAGAGTGTGTGGTGGATAGAAAGAAGTCCAGTGATTCATAAAGTCATAAATCAAAGAAAAATTCTAAAAGAGGAGGCATACTAAGAAGCATCATGTTTGGAGTCCTATCTGACTTCCAGATCTGACTTTGTTGCATGTTAGCAGTGTGATCCCGGGTAAATTACTTAGACAACCTGAGCTTCAGTCCCTAAAGAGTCACAACAGCCTGGAAAATCAAAAGATTGTTGTGAGGATTAAATTAGGTAATACATATGAAAGCATTTTATAAACTGGAAAGTGCCATACAAACTCCAGTTATTTTTTTACCAATTAAAATTCATTCTTCCTGACTTTCTGAAGGACTCTGATAAGAGAAATTTCATAACCTCTGCAAAATTAGGGAGTTTGATTAAGAGTACAATTACCAAGAAATTTATTCAGCATAATCTCTAAGCCCCAGGACAAGATATAAAAGGTTGATATTCACATGCTTTCACAAATAATTTCAGAGTTGCCTAAATCTGATAAAAGCTACTTACTTCTTCCCCAAACCAATCACAGCCTATTTAACTGTGTATTGTTTCACATTGGGGTTGTTTTATTTATTTGGTTGGTTGTTGGTGGTATATAGATGGTAGAGGTGACAGGCAAAGATAGTTCAAATGACAGTCTTTAGAGATTTTGCAAAATGTCTATTCATTTTACCCTCTGTTTGTTTTGATTAATTGTTGACTAGCAAGTGAGGGATGGGGGTGGGGGGTTGAGTTCTTGGCTCAGATAATGAAGGATACTCCTAGTACCAACTAAGTAATATAAAAATAGAGACCTAGGCAAACAAGAAATTAAGAACAAAGCTGAAGCTATGAGAAAAATGAGAAGTAATCCTGATGGCTGAATTTAATGATCAGAACATAAAAGGACAAGTAGACACTTCCAAGTAATTGCAGAGGGCAGGGTGAATTAAAAATAAATAAAAGACCTTGAGGACAACTCTATGAAAATAGTGTACCATTAGAATAAGATCCCTAGTCTTTGTAAATAAATAAGAGTTTAAATACCTGTCCTAGAAGGACAAAAATGATATCTTCTAAAATTTTTGACTATTTTGAAAAAATATGATAAAAAAAGGACAAATTGTCATCTATGCTATGATTTTCACTTTTGTTAAATTTCTACCTTTTAGACAACCAAAAAGATGTTTATGAAAGCACTGTGTGAAAAGCCACGTAAATATACAATTTTGTCAACTGAACCATCATCATTTACATTATAAAGTACAAAACTAAATTTAAATTACCATGCTTTGAAAGCTCTCTCTCCAAATTTTTGGATACTGGCACACTTGTGTCTCTGTTTGGCACTTGAAGCCAGTAGTTTCTCCTTCAAAACTTTTGCCTGCAAAAAGAAATCATTTTGAAAATATTTTTTAAAATTCTACATGAAACACACCTTCATAAGTTCAGATGAGACTATGTCAAATTAAATTTTAAAGAGATAATATACACTTAAATTCCCAAGTACTCACTATTGGCAAATAATTATTTTGCTCTCTAAGAAAAGGAAGAATTGGTCTGGTTATAGTGGAAGCCTCCAGCTAGCTAAGAACCAGCATATAGGCATTGCCAGTTAAAAGAGAACTGAAGGGAAAGTTGTAAGAACAGAGTACACTAACATCCCTGGGAATATAATTTTACTGACTTCTTAATTTATGGAACGAATGAAGAAACCCAGGCTACCAGATGCAGTGAAATTCTCCACTTCGAAGTCCCTCCCTAGTAAGGAATTCTCATAGAAAGATAAACAAATCTGTGGCCCTTTGCTGTGCAATTTTACCAATAAGTTTCTGTATTTCACTATAGTGACCAGCACCATGAAAAGAAGAGGAAAATTTAGGCACATACACAGTAATTCCCTTTATCAGATCCACTATGACAAAACTTAAAAGGAGAAAATGAGGATGTCGGAGGACTTCGGAGAGTGTGAAAGATCCTTGGGGTGGATAAGTGTGAGGAAGGCTTTTCGACCAGATCAAGAAGTTTATATCAGAGGCTTAGGTTTCCTAATCTAGCCATAAGGTGCCCCAGATCTGAGGTTTGAGGCCGAACTGGTTCTTTCATTCTTCTAGGACATACCTTTGGTGCCAGGCACGTAGCTTTATCAGCAGCTTGGCAGCATTCTGTTAAAATTGCTTTATATTGTTTAACATAGTAAAGGAGTTCTGGGCCATAAAAGTAAGGATGTCTTCTGGCAACTTCATATAAGTAACTAAATTTTTTAAAAAGAAGAACAGGCCATCATTTTTCTATAGCAAATGGTATTAAGAAACAATCAAAATCAACATTTTCCTCAGAGACTCCAAAACTCGAAGACATCTAATTTACCAGTTAAGCACTATTTGCACAAGATGATCTTGCCTATTTCATTAAGTCAATAAAAAGGTTAAACTTACATATATATAAGTTTATATATATATATAAAAACTATATATACACATATATACACATGTAAAATAGTTATTTATGATATAATATAATTGACTAAAATAAGGTTAATTCTGAGAATAACTAAATATATCTTCATAATATTTTAATACATGTCAATCTCAATTTTTATACAGATCATATTCTGTTTCAATGAATTCTAAAAAATCTTTGATAAAATTTTTATCGTGTAAAATTTTATAGTGTCAAGTATTACCTCTTTGAAAACTGTCATTAGAAAAGTTTTCTAAGTCTTCTTTAAAAAGAACAGTTTTCTAAGTCTTCATTAGAAAAGCTTCTAACTCTTAATGTTGAAAACATTTTTATTATAGTAATCATTGATTGAGTTGACCTATTCATAATTTTGAAGCATAAAAATCTGATTACTTACTTTTCCAAGAACTTATTATTATTTTCTTGAAAGGCAGTGCACAAAGCTTCGGGCTCTGGTTTCACTACTGGTGGGAGGTTTGGGTCATCATCTTTGTGTTTCAGGAAGCATTCATTTCTCTCAGGATCTTGTTTTTCACAGCAGTCAGCCAATTCACCATAGGTCTCACGAAGAGAAGCAACTGTACACAATTTATCTCCAAAAAGAGTATGCTAAATGGAAGACAGAAAGCTTCAAACTGGTAGGCAATATTTTATTTTCTTTACACATGAGGAATAGTATTAAAAATGTAATACTCTGGTTAGAAATATCTTGTTTAGAAAATCATATAAAAATTCACTTTTTTCTCAGATTTAGAGAGTTTTCCTTGATTTGAAAAACTATGTTTAATTTTTTAAGAATTAACTGATACTATTTGTTATAGTGGATAAAACAGAAAAGCAAAAAAGACAGTCAATGGCTTTAAGGAATGAGCATTACTCTAATTTCCACCTGAGGCTAAAGACTAGAAGAGCAATCGCAATAGAAAAATTAAGCGAAAATAGTCCTGTAAGTATCAGGTGAATTCCCATTAGGGAGGAAAAGATTCAGATGGTTTCTCAATTGATCTACTTTGTGAGACATCCAACTTTTTGGTAGATACCATTCAAAAACTGAAGAGTAACACAATTTACTATATATTAATTGTTATTGCATTAAAATATAGATCTCTTTGTTCTAGAAATATTTGCCTCAAAGAACATTCCATTAAATTAATCCTGTCCATCCTCATTAATATTTATTATAAAAGTAATTGTAACTCCAGGGAAAATAAACTGCTCAAGACAGAATTTATTAATTTTCAAAAAATTCTTTTTTAAAAATTCATATTTAGAGCCATGACATTGTGTGGAGTTAAAGTACTGATTCTGGCTTGATGAAGAGATACATATAAAGAAATATAAGAGCAGAAAAGACTTCAGTGATAAATAAAAAATTGACATGCCTCCAGAAAGTATATATAAATCAAATGGCAAAAGAAACATTATCCTCTCCTTGCATTAAAGACCTTTCTGAAAATACCAAAAGCTCAAAGTCCTTTAAAAGAAATGAATACCTCGATATATTATTGAATGTAAAAATATGACTATCCCTAAAATGAGGAAAATATAGCTGTACTATTACTATACCCAGGTAAGAAAATCAGCACAAAAATCAGTTGAGCATTTTCTGAAGATTAAAAAACATGCTATTACTATTAGCCTCTATGGAAAGAAATCAAACTTTAGATTCTAAAAAGAGACTTTTACAAACAGAAAATTTCCATTTAAATACGGTATGCCATCGTGTGTGGTCTCAATAAAGAAATGTTTTTAGTCCATTATATACATGTACCATATCTTCTTTACCCAATCATCTATTGAAGGCCACTTTGGTTGTTTCCATGTCTTGGCACCATGAATAATGCTGCAATGAACATTGGGGTGCATATATCTTTACGGATAAATGTTTTCAAATTTGGGGGGTAAATATCCAGAAGAGAGATTGCTGGATTATATGATAGTTCTATATTTAATTTTTTGTGGACCCTTCATACTGTTTTGCATAGTGGCTGTATCAATTTACATTTCCACCAGCTGTGTATAAGGGTTCCTTTTTCCCCACAACCTCTCCAACACTTGTTATTACTTGTCTTGTTGATTATAGCCATTCTAACAGGTGTGAGATAGTATCTCATTGTGGTTTTGATTTGCATTTCCCTAATAGCTAGTGAAGTTGAGCATCTTTTCATGCCATAAGAGATGAAATACTGCCATTTGCGACAACGTGGATTAATACTGAGATAATCATGCTAAGTGAAATAAGTCAAACATAAAAAATTGAGAACCATATGATTTCACTTCTATGTATGATATCAAACTGAAAGCAACAAACAAAAAAGACAAAAAAAAATTTATGAACATAGAAAACAGTTTAGTGGTTACCAGAAGGAAAGGGAGTGGGAGGTAAATAAGGGTAAAGGGAATCAAATATAAGGTGATAGAAGGAGATATGACTTTGGGTAGTGAACACACAAGGCAATAAATATATGATGTATTATTGAAGTGTGCACTTGAAAGCTATATAACTTTATTAATGTCACCTCAGTAAATTTAATAATAAAAAAATGTTTTTAAAAGTATGGGTATAGCTAGAATGTATCATAGGAAAAACGATGGCTCTATCCACTTTTGAGTGTTGCTTACAAATATGGTCATTTCGTAATAACTGAGAAAACTAAAATAGAATTTTTTTCCCTTTGAAATGCTCAGGATTACTTAAAAGAAAAACTAATATTCAAAATCAGAATGTACTTACAAGCGACTTGTCACAATTTGCAGCTGACTCATCAGCAACACATGTTTTTGCAAACTCAGTTACTTCATTTGTTAATTTGCTATGCTCATCAAATGGGCACTGCTGGAGATACTGAGAAAAGGTTATCAGTACCCTGAAACAAAGGACATGGAAAAATTGGTATAATAAAATTTTAGTATAAAGTAGGTTGTTATGTTAGAGAAAACATTGGCTATCAGTATATGTTCTATATTTTATACATCTTATTATTATCCAGAAAGCCTATTCATATCAGCTATTATCTGATGCCTAACCAAGCATATGTGGCTTTCTAAGCAAAGAGAATATGTATTTCCATCATGTTTAAATAAGCGTGTGTGCCTGAGTAGATGCACACATACAGAGCAAGCAAGCATAATGTTTTCTAAATAGATCTAATTGTTAAGACAAGGGGCATTACATAGTCCCTCTGGCTATATAAAACAAGAAACAAAAAACACACGCATACTTCATTTAGTCAGGCTATAGTATGAGATTGACCTTTAAATAATAAACTATTTTCTCATTTTTACTAGATTAAAAAATATTAAAATGCTCTCAAGAAACCACAGATCTATTTGCTAGGGAAAGGAATTTAATCAGTGTGTTGTGAAAGGAACCATATATGAAAGTCTTTCCCATCATCCAGAGCTACACTTTCTAATATGTAGCCATCTGCTACACGTGACTATATAGAGTTAAATAAATTAAAATTAAATATAATTAATTTGTGATCCTCAGGTGCACTTGCCATATGTAAGGTACTCAATAACCACAGGTGGCCAATGAATACCATATTGGACAGCAATGATATAGAATATTTTCTTCAGTGCAGAAAATTCTATAGGACAGTACTGTTTTAGAGTCTGGACTTTGATGACAGGAATGTGAGAACTTCAGAAAACAACCAGTGCTATTAGAACATTAAATTTGACTCCAATATTTTAACTTACAGTTCTCTGAAATGTTCTTCTCCCAAATCATTATACCGATGGGCAATCTCACTCTTGTCTAGAGGGAAAAAAAAGATTTGTTTAAAGTCTGATGAAAACAACTGGTTATGATATTACTTTTTACGTTTCTCTCTATTTGACTTAGGTATTCATTTGCTCCAAAATACTGGGCTCTGATCCCTACAGAAAATCTTAGGATGATGGTGGACTGCTTCTGCTTTTAAACAGGAGAGTTATTCAATACCAATGATAATGTCTGAAAAATCATTAAAATAATTAAGTATTTATAGCTTTTTATACAAATTTTGATAAGCTCTAATGCTCTTAGTATATATTAACAGCTACTGAGAGGACAATCTGAAAGGAAAAATATAAACACACGTTCTATTTATAAGATTAACAACTCAGGTTTTGTTGGTTTTTTTACTACATCAAGGTGCAATGAATAGAGCTTTGAGATTTTGGAGCTATGAATTTTATCTTTAACTATAATCTGTAAAGGTTAAATTAATTTAAGTTCCTTCAGCTGCAAAATAAAATTACACTTACTAAACAATTCTCATCATTTTTTTCATGCAGGATATTAGAAATATATTAATAAGGTAACTTCCTAAGTGTTCACAAATACAAAATACTATGCTAGTCTAGAAATAAATGCTAAAGGAAAACTTTAAAGATGCAGGGTTTACTGAAACTTTCTTTTACTAGGAAAATAAAATAAATTAGAACAATAGAAAAATAGAATTCTTACGTGTATCTCGACGAAACACACCCCTGGAATAAGCAGAGCTGAACAGAAAGAGAAGGGAAATAAAGGTTACCCACTTCATTGTGGCAAAGGCTTGTGGAGTCGAAAGAAGACAAAAAGTAAGATAAATGGAGGGAAATGAGTATTAATATAGTCCTTCAACCAATAATTGTAGATTATTAACTAGACTCATCTTTGTGTTTCTTTGACTCCCAACTGTTTACAAAATTCATAATGTTCTTGCCAAAAAATTGTTTGACTAAATCTCTTGCATATGTTTGCCTTCCTTGTCAATTCATGAAATTATGTAAAACATCTTACCAAATGTTACCTAAGAATTTAAACAATCCGTATCAATTGTTCATTATCATGTTCTTTATCTGTGATTTACCATTTGAACATTTGAGTTTTAAATCTTGACAAAAATTTAGCCAAAGCAATGACTTAGCTTGGAAATAAGACATACTAAAAGAGCTCCACTCTGAGCTGTATAGATTACTAATTCCAAGTATGCTTTTATCATGAATAAGGGAAATAGACTTGTCTTTCAGGCTACAGATGAACAAAATAAAAGAATGTCTGCCTATGGAATTATTTTTATTGGAGAAATCATTTTTTTAAAGCTTAAAAATTTAAATTAGAAAAGAAAAAAGAAAACCATTCTAACTTTCTAAACAGAGGGAAAAAAAATTTCCTTTTGTATAAATTATGTCAACCTTTATTTTTTAGTTTCCAAGAAAGAGTATGCACTTTGATCTAAAGACAGTGTCTAACTCTAGCCTTTTCTTTATATGAGAAAACTTGATCAAACGTGCTATCCTTGTAATTGAATTTAATTGTATTACTACTTCACAAAATTCGGCCTTGTCATGCACACATATACTTTGTGCATATTTTTCATTTAAAAAATGAAAAGAATAATATTCTTTTCTCCATCTACTTTGCAGTACAATATCATATTGCGATACCATTATAAATATAGAAAACCAAAAAAAATCAAATTTGTCATGATTTTAGAAACTAAGAAATGATTTTCCTATATTTCATGAAGATACTATAGCTTTCAAATATAAAAATTAAAACACCTGAACTTCTCCTTACAGTACCAATAAGGTGTTTTCCATGTGTGTATCCTTATTAAACATTAGTAGATGGTTGAAAAATTAAAATATTTAATTCTTAACACTATCCGCATATTTAAAATCTGACTTAATTAATAAGCAATCGTTTAACACTTGCATTTTGTGGATTTCCAAGGGAAGAATTCCTACATTTTTCTTCTACTAATTCTGCATGCTCATTCTATACTGAGAGGAATAAAACCACATAAGTGTTGATTATTTCTAAATATTCTGTTTTCAACCTTTTAAACTCTTATGTTTAGTTTAGTCATCAAAGGACTCTGGCATGAGAGTAAATGCATACAATTAAACTAAGAGGTATAAATATGGCTTACAGAATCTAGTTTTCTAATAGGAAACTAGCTGCAGTGATTTTTAAATGTTTTCTCATTTTATGAGAGTTTGAAAAGAGAGAGTAGTTTAAAAAGTTACTTCATATGGAAAGAATAGTAGTGTGCTGATCATTTAGAAGAGAAAAAAATACCTAATTGAAATATAAATATAACTGGCAATTAAACCTGATCCGTTATCCCTTTTGTTCTTTCTTTTGCATTCATTTCGACAGGATAGAAAAGACACAGTTTTGAAGCAGAAAAATATATCTCTTTGGACCAGTCCTCCACTTTCTTGCCACCTTAATCATAATCTTAAACCTATACCCTCTTTCTGCCCTCTGGATTCCTGAAGCTTCTCACCAAATCATTCAAAACGTATTTCTCTCCATCTGGCCATCTTCTTGGTCCAGCTCTTATTGCCATCTCTTTCTGTGATAGATTACTACTTCTGAGTCTCCTTCTTTTAGAAATGAAGTAAAACCTATGCATAACAATGTGACAATACTTGTTATGTAATAACAGCCACAGTATTTTAACAGAGACTTTCTGGTGACAATCATTTAACCGAAAGTCATTCAAAAATGTGAAAAATTTGGATTCATTTGGAGATGAAACTAAGGAAGGAAAATCTTTTCTTGTCATTCTTTCTTGTTAGACTATGGACTTATGTAGATCTTACCTATGATGAAGGGCCTGGACTGCTTTCTAAAAAACACAGAAGGGTAAGAAAGTGAAAGACTGTTAAGCATCAAACCAACCAATTGAAACATATAGGCAATTTAATTTATTACTTATTTGTGAAGACACATTTCCCATTTAAAAAAAAATAAGAAAATTGTCCAAAACGTATGAACTTATATAGGAATTTCTAATGCAAATAAAAAATAGTAATGTAATCCAAATATCAATTGTCCCCTCATCTCCTTCCATAAGTCATTACCCTAAAATATCCTCTTGCATTAGTGGGAAATATAGAATTTGCTGAAACTTTCAGAGGGGACAAGAAGAAGAAAGTTTACAATATAAACCACATTAGATCACCATCTTTGGCTTGTCCCATCTTTTAGGTCCCTCTCTCCAAATTTCCAATGGCACAAGGGTCCCTTTTTTTGCCTTTTCTCATATTACACTGGGCCTCTGGAATTTTGTCTACCTCCTTTTAGACATTTTAACTATTTATTTCAAATTTCTCAACTCTTTACCATGTGGTTTAATTGAGCTCAAGGTCAATTTCTAGCTCCAAACTTGAACATGCGGGTCTATGTATATATCTCCATGTCATTTGGGTCAAGTTGGATTAAATTATTTTTAAGTACCCTTCTACCCTGAGCATTCTATGATTTCATATTTCCAATGTAACAGTCTTATAGAATTGAGAATAGGGACTGACTGGTAAGAATGAAGGTACAAGTATCCCCCGCTTTTTAAATTTTGCATTATGCCACTTTACTTTTACAAAAGACCTACATTAGTACCTGTTTTTGATAATGAAAGAAATACGAAGAGGATTTTTGTTTTTACTTAAAAAAAAAAAAAAGATGAAAAGCAAAATGGCATTCTGCATTTTTTTTTTTTTCATAATCAGCCTTTATAGAGGCAGCAGGCACTCTGAGCAGCAAGAGTGGCCCTGCCAAGTTTCTTCTCTGGGAACTTACTACACTCAACATCTCAGCACCAAGCTGCCATAGCTTTGAATGGTGTCTGTGAGCATCTGTGCTTTATCTCAATTTATTTTGTGCATCCATTAGCAAGATGCGTTCCAAGGTATGATAAAAGCTTAACAGAGTCTGTAAGGGTGCTATGCTTAACATAAAACTGAATGTAATTACATTTCAATCGCAGTGAATGAAGTAAAGACATTGTGCATGTGGTGAATTTGGGGTCTGGGAACACACTTTTCCCACATATATTAATGGTAATCACTTCTTCTCTTTATACCATCTTGGCTTGCAAAAGATTTCATAGGAATCATCTACTTTTGGACAGCAAGAAAAACCTGTATTAAGTTAGGGATTTGGGGTGCAAATTTGAGAATTTGTTCATTGCTGAGTGACTGTCCAGTGGCTCCTCAAGCATTACCCTTTATCTAGCTTAGGTTAATATTTTTTAAAAAATAAAATTGTCAGTTAAACTTATCTACACTGTACAAATAAAGTGACACTTTCCCATAGCTTTTTATTGTTTTTCCAATTCAAGAAAAATATAAATACATAAAATCCATGCTTATCCATTCTTCATATAAGTTAACAACAAATAGAATCTATAAGCATTTAAATTAAAATTAATGCTAGTAACTACTCTCTTGTAATAATAGCTACAGATGGAAATCAAACCGAAATGAATATACTGCTGAGAGTTTAAACATTCTATTTATGTTCTGTATTTTTTCTAAATGTAATTCAACAGACTTATTACCTAAAGGGAGGTTAATTTAAAGTTACAAAATCGAACTTTTTAAAACTCCTTGTAAAGCAACAAAGGTTGTGAAGCTAAAATATTCCTATGTTAAAATTTCAGTGGGTCAAGTTTAGAAACTTTTCATTACAAGATAAATTATTTTTCTCTTCGGTGTCTTCTAAAGCTTAGAATTTCTTAGCTGTTTTGTCATTTTCCAGTGCCAGTCTTTAGCTAAAAATTCTCTGGCCTACCACCCAACTGAGCCTTGGAATTTAAGTCTTGAATTTCTTGTCAGTTTTTAAAGCATCTATGTGCTTTAATTAATTAATTATTTCATCAAAAAAAAAAATCTGTAACTTCAAGAAATACAACAAATAAATAGTTGACCGATGGTCTCCTCTTTTAAAAGAGAAATTTATCTCTAGGAAAATTAGACTAAACTATATAATATGAATGTTTTAAAAATAATTTTTAAATACTATAATTGCATATACACACATTGAATTTTTAAATTAGTTTTTAATTATATAGACATTGAAAAGAATAAACTCTAGTAGAATAATATTCATAGGTTTGAAGATTTTGTTTGCACAAATAGTTTACTTGATAATAATGTGTTGCAACAAAAATATGCATTCTAACAGCATAAAGAAGTAATTTCGGTAATATATGATGTTGACAATAGATCTCTTTACAAAATGCTTCTGATTCACAGCTGTGAGATACCTAGTATATTTAGCATTAATAGCTTAAATTACTGGATGAAATACATACAGTTACTACTTCAATTCAATTTAAATTTTTATAGTTACACTAGATATTTATCATTCATTAAAATTTTATAAATTAGCCTCTTAGCATTTATTGTCTTGAGGGCAAAGGACTTGTTATCAATGAGTCCAAATTTCTCTCTGTTGTTGTGTTGTTACATGGAAAATTGGCCAAGAATACACATCAAGAATGATGATATCTAAAAACAAACATAGTCCTAGCATCAACAAACCCACTATTTATTTAAGAACACCAGTAGTCTTGCTGACACAGCACAATCCAGAAAACAGTGTTTCATATTTATTTAAGTAGCACCACCTAGTCTTTCATTCATGCTCGATATTTATTGACTGCCCACTAAATGCCAAGCATTTGCTAAGCTATGAGGATACAAAAGATTAACAAGACATGGTCCCTGACTTCAGTGAGCCCACAGTCTATTAGAAGAGATTGACACA